CTAATCTGAAAAACAAGGAACATAATGAGCTTCTGCCAAAAGTTTCTCTGTTGAAGCTTGTTACAAAGTTAATTCAGAATTACAGTTGCCACTGTTTGTGTTATTCCCTTAAATCTAGTTTATAGAAAATATGGTTGCTGCCATCTTGAAAAGGAACAATCTGTAAATAATCTGAGGATGAAATGAGATGGACATCTCCCATTATTGCTTTATAACTGTCTTCTCTAAAGACAGTTATAAAGAAATTGTAATTGGTGCAAAATGTAGTCACCTGTAAAGTTAAGGTATAACCTTCTTATTGTCATATGACAATTCTGTTGACAAACCTAATTCTCTGTTAAGTTTCTGGGTATGTTAAGGGTGCTGACTGTCACTTTAAAAGCCATGAGTGATTCAGTATGGTCTTGTTCAGTATGGACAACCTATATACCACACACATTCTGTTCCACCAGTCCAACCAGAGAATACCTGATAAAGATCCCCACTATCAAGAAGTATAATAAGTAAGGGCCATTTTTCTCTGGAACAGCTTGTGTCCTGAGCCTAAGGTGATTTCCATTCTCATGAACTTCTGGAAGTTTGTAAAAACTATCCAAGAAGGCCTATGGGCTCTGACTGCTGTGTCGTTATTATACATGATGTATAAAAATTATTACAGCTACAGTAATCAACACTAAGATACTTTTGGATAATGGTTCATAACGTCACCAATCAAAGGTCTAAATTATAAATTACTCATCATTCACAGATTGGAAAGTGTAGCATTCTTAAAGCTTCTTTCAATGCTTCATTCAGTTGGCAGAATCCAGCCCTAACAGCAGTACTGTTCTTTCTCCTTGCTCTTATTCGGATATTATGAAATAGCCTTTCAATGCATATATGAGAAGCAGAGAAATTAATAACGTGGAACAGCAGAAGTGTGCAGATTAACATTAATAAATGTTAAGCAAACAACTTCTTCAGAGACTTGAGACTTTTTGCTAGAGAAATTATTTTGGATACATGGGTAGAGTCTAGGACAATTGGCGCCGGCCAGATTACCGTGCCCACTTCTTCACGGTCCCTGCCACAGCTGAACCACCACTAGTGTTTATGTTTGATGGGCCTCCACCGGCAAGCCACTGAGGCACCTTCTCCCTGGGTATTTCACTGCGTGGGACACTTAAAACTTGCCTCCCGGTGGGCAAGTGAGGTGGGCAGTGATCTTGGTTACTAGGCCAAGAGGCGTGGCAAAAGCAGCAAAGAGAGCAAAGAGGGACAGGAACTGGGATAGTTCCCTCCCTCCCAGCCTGACCCTTCACGGGATGGGAAAAGAAAGGAAGGGCCACCTGCACACACTTTCTCCCCGCAAGGCTGCAGAGACTCTGGTTGCAAACGGGACTCATGGTTTACTTTTTGGGCCCTCCTGAGCAGGAATAGGCCAATGGATGCCGGCGAAGCTGGGCACGTGGCCAGGTTCAGGTAGGGATGGGGCAGGGCCCTCCTCTTCCCACCTCATGAAGGGCAAGGGATCACCAGAGAGTCAGACCGGGAGGGAGGGAGGGAGCCTCCCAGCTTGGCACCTGAGGCCACTGCCCACACCCCCCCCGGGAGGCACGTTTAAATGTCTTGCACAGTGAAACACCCAGGATGAAGAGTCCATCGGTGACTCGGCTGGGGTTGGGACAGGACCGCCACCAGACCATTGCCAGGGAATCAGTGCCAGAAGAGGGCCTGTCAAACATAATCATTGGCAGTGGGTCGGCTGTGGTAACGGGCCCCAGATGAAGTGGGTGGAGTAATCAAACTTCGACACACCCTATTAATGTTTATTCAGATTTGTTTTGTTTTGAAATCCTTAAATTTATATTTAAAGCTTCTTTTGTTTAAGGACTGAAGGAAATTCACCTGGAATTTCAGACTTGTTAATCCAAAAGTTCCTAATAGTTAAAAAGCAGTTAACAAGCAATTTTAGAGAAATAACTATGCTACCCCAAAGTTATTTATGAAGGTACAAACTGCACCTTCAACAAGAAGGTTACTTCCTTGTCTCCCAGAATTTTCAACTTGCCAAGAGATTGCTGTCTTGTGGTTTCCTTGTGAGTAACAACTATCTGAAAAGCACTTGTGGTCAATCTTAAGTCTTCTTGTGCTGAGGTGATTATCAAAGAACCAATCCACTCACAAGTTCTTCATTCTGCTGCAATCATCAGTTCTGCTCTTAGCAGAGCTGTCCTCAGTTTGCCATTTCTTCCCTGGAAGTCCACCTCAAACTGTTTTGGATACACGGTAATTTTCTCCCTCTTTGTTAAGCAAATATCTAATTATATAGTTCTAACACAGTGGAACTATAGAAAATAAATGCTACAAGACAAAATAAGCCATAGACCTCTGAGTTACTTTTTCTGAGAACAGCTTGATAGAGAAAACAAAAGGGATACTTGATCCTCATTCACAAAGATACCTCCCTTATTCTTTTAGCACTTAGTGTTGAGTTAAAAAGAGCTTTTTGTCCTAGTTATATTGCCTTAAATATTATTAAGAATGAAAAGAACCACTTTTTCTTTCCAGCCTATCTAATACCAACCGGGGTCAATTCACCATAGCACAGCATTGTTAAGAAGTTTTTCTGAAGTTTCTAAAAATATTGGGAGAGGTTAATAAATGATGTTACCAAGGCTCAGAAAGAAAATTAAGCCTTTCATTCGCTGATCCTGAAAACAACTTATACCTATTCATTAGAAATAAACAACCACAAATGCATCAAACTGAAGCCACTAAGAATAGGAAATTTGTAATTAATGGATCAGGCCAGTGCTCCAGTCCAATTGTTAACCAGCTAGAAAAATGTAATAATCCAAAAGAATATACTCTGAAATAAAGCCTCTAATTTAACAATAGTTGAAATATTGGTGTCAAGACTCTTGTTCCTGCAAACAATTAATTAAGAATTGGCATGAACTCTATGCTAGAAGAAAAAAAAGAACACAAAGCAGTGATGTAAACCAAATTCAATAAAAATAAAAAAAAACTATGAACAGCTAAATTTCAAGTACAGAAGAAAATCTCAGAGCATGAGTAAAAGAAAAGGAACTAATAAAGAATGATTAGTGCAACATTGGTTTTGTTGATGTGCTGTTAAGTTTACAAATACACTCTATGCATCCTCTGATTTTTTTAAGCTTTAAGATGTCTTTAAAATAAAACAGGTTCTATTTTCAAAATGCATTCTAAAAATTTAGCATCCTGACAACTGAATATTCAGGTCACAAGACAATATACGGTGGTTTAGACACAAATACCCAAGCTAAACATAACAATGTGGTGTCTTCTAGATTATTGTATGATTTTTTGACTAGTTAATGGGAACATCGGGAACAACACATTTGTACAAGATATATCAAAATTGTGGCTGTGACTGTCATAATCAAATCTCTGCCATTTACCCATTTTACATATATATATGGCATGTACAATACACATGAAAAATGGGCAGGTCTTTAATTGTCTGGTTGTTCCCATCATTTTTGTCATTCTTTCCACATACACCAATTCTTTGTTTAAACTTATTTCTAAGTTCCTATTGTTGTTATAAAAATTTAACTAAGAAATCATATCTATATTTACCGAACATTTAGTGTTCACTACATTCTTGTACACTTGATTACAATATTTTGCCTACTTGATTACAATATTTTGGAATACCTTCTCTATACAGCTTCAGATAGTGAACATTGGTATACATGCATTTTGTGCATGTTCTTGGGTCTTATGTGGTTTACTGCAGTGACATGTTTGTTTGGCATCTCTTCAGTTCTGCTAAATACAGTTGTAATTTTTTGTGACCTTTTGTTGAGATCTTAAGAATATGAAAACAGGCAATTATATTTATTGATTAATCATGGGGAATCCTACACTTTTTTCCCTGTAATACTGTTCTAGTTCCTGAACTATCCAAGTAGCAATCAAGGACATTTTATAGGTAAAGCCAGGATTTCTCAATTTCGCAAAAACAATGTAACTATCTAATACCAATCTCATTTAGATACCATTAGCTGCAAGCTTAATGCCTTGTGATCTGATTCAACATTATCTAGGATCTTTGCTTTAATTTGTGATTTTTGTATTATGTCTGTTGAAATATTGATTGATTGTTTATGTTTTAACATATCATTATAAACTACTTTTACTATTCTGAATGTTGTGATATTGTTTTTGAAAAGTGGCTTTGAAATAAAGATGAACAATAAACTAGTCACACAGTACTACACAGTACATAAAGTTGTATGTTTAAAATATGAATGCAAATTAAGGAAGGCATATAGAGATTTTGAATTATTATTGTGGAAAATAGAGACTTTCCCAGGCTTCTGATATTTAATAATTAATATCCATATCTATTTTTTATTTGCAATATTGTTTGTACTATATTAATGTATATAACAATTGCTTTCAGAGTAGTAATTGAAGCCAAAAATCTCCTATTTATAATGTATATTAGGATAATGCTGATTTTTCAAATTAATAATTGCATGTAATGGAAGTCTAAAATAATCTTTGTCAATTGGAGAAAAACATGGAGAGATTTTACTGGAAATGGATAAGAAAACATGCAGTATTAACAACCAAGAAATTTTGCCCAGTAATCCATGAAAAAAAGCTGCTAGAGAATGAAAGATTGGTAAGCAAAATGCTTCCTGCTCTTGTTAGTATTTCAAATCACCCCTAACCTTTTGGATTTTCATGTTTCATGTTTAAATAAATAAACTATTTGTTACATTTGTTTACATATAACTGCTGCCTGACCTTTGCTTCAGTCACAAAATGCAAACAGCATTATACACTGAGATACTCAGACTATTATACAATACTAAGAAAAATTAAACTATGCAGTCATTAGCGAAACATGTGTTTACAACTTTTACTTAACAATATTAGTTGATGAAACTTCTCCATGTAGAAATTAAAGAATTTTAAACAAATGTTGTGTTTTCTAAAGTTGATAACTAGCATTTACTTACCTCCCACTCCTTAACAGCTGTTTCATTAATTGAATCTTCACCAGACTGAGTTTCAATTTTTTTTACTACAATAAATCCTGGCTCTCTATTTGATTCTCCTGTATCTTCTGTATATATTTCTGGACTCCACTGAACAAAAAATGCATACAGATGTTCAGTCCTTTGAAAGGGAAAATGAAAAATAAATTGATACCCATTCAGATTTACACAAATTTAGAAATATTGTTTTAAATAGTAATTCACTATATCTTTTCACTGTCAGTTACTCATGCTTTTCTTTGAAAATCTAGAGAAAGAATATTCATATAAAACCTATTCTATAATGTAAGATAAAACTATGATGGACAATATTTTCAGTATCTTAGCATGTAACTAGTACTGATTATGGTATCCTCAACAGATTATAAATCTGAAAAGAGCTTCTTAGTTTCATTAGAAGTGAATAGAACAGGATAGAACATATAGTTGGCAGGATTAGATAACAAGCTTAAGATGGATAGGATTTGCTTAGTATTTAGGCACCATAATCAAGGGGTTTCTTTAGAAGAAAATGTCATAACAGAAAAGACCTGTTTGTCTCAAATACATAATACTAGAAATCAAAGATTAAGAATTTATAATTAGCCATGACAGATGTTTGCTCATCTAGTCTGGCATGTTTTTCCCAGAGTACCTAGGCAGATGCTTCTGAGAAACACAACAAGAAAAAAAAATAGTAATTCTTCCTATTGTTATCACAGAGAAAGTAGTAATTCTAGACATTTTGCTTTCAGAAAAGATTCAGACCTATGGAAATTCCTGATTCTCTTATTATCCATGAATTTCTCAAATTTCCATCACTTAACTAATTCTGAGAAAGAACTTTGGCAGCATGACTTGGTCAGCCAGGTTAAAATATATAAAAATAAGTTTACCAGGCCACAGCTTGGTATGAGCACAGGAAAGCTATGGGGAACTTAGCAGAGTGATTTGTGACCTTCTTTGCTGGCTTCGCCACTGTCTCTGCTTGAGAGAAGCCATCAGAGAAGGTCACAAAAGATGAGCACCTGACATAAGACACTTCAAATGTCACAACTATAACCCAGTTGCCAAATGCCCAAATCACAATCATGTGACTGTGGAGACCTTGAGATTACCTGTAAAGCATATAACAAGAATACAATACCCAAAAGTTTAAATGACTATTATTGTGAAAAAAGTACAAAAAAATTAACACAAACTCTCATTTTCATAATAAATGGTCCATTGTTTGGATGAACACTTCAATAAGGCAATGGGTATCTTATATAAAGTTAAGGAGACAGGCCTGCCATAATCATTCACTTGAATCTAGTCCACTAGAAAACAAATGGCCAATTTCAATAAACACAGAGAGAGTATACTAAGAAAAATTCTGAAACTACCAAGAAATAAGCAATTTAGCAAAAATAAAATAAAATAATATTTCTTGTATAGTTAAAACTTTAAATTCAAAAGGATGTAGAATGAATATGTCAATATGAAAACAGATTTAAATTTAGTTTAGAAATGGAAAGATAGTCTTCCTCTACAATAAACATACATAGAAAATATCCATCTTACCTTTCTGATGGCACAGCAAACCAATATTCATGCTTCTTATCTCTTTGTGCATATTGCTGCATCAATGCACTTGCCTGTGACACAAATGTTTTTCGCATTGGCTTGCCTACTTTGAGACACAAGAACTTGTATAATCGATGTCTTCTCTTCTCTTTTATTAGAGAACCTTTTATAAAGAGATAAAATGCAGACTGTAGTTGGCAATTTTGCTTTACTAATTATTAAATATTAAATTAATTACTGGATAAATCTGAGTACACCTTTAAAAACTGATTAGATATTGTTACTCTGCTCAATATTAAGTTTAGCTATTATAGCATGGGTGGGCAATCTGCAGTTAAGAAGGCTACATGTGAACATCTAGTTCCCTTTTTATATCTCCTCTAATCCCAAAGTTTCAGATCTCAAATTTGGAAAGTAAATGGTGAAATGAATTCATCAAACCACTGCAGAGACTTAAGACACTCACAAAACCACAAATCCCTAAAATTAGGTCCAAATTTCTTATTTTGGAACAGCTGTAACAGAACCAGTATTTTGCACGTCTTAAAATACTGACTTTATCTCTCAAGCCCCAACCTCAGGAGGAAAAAAGAAAACAAGTGGATGCAAACATTTAAACATAGGAATTCTGCATCCACTTAAACATATTAAACAAATTACCTTATATTGGCAGATATGCTTCCTATGGCTCAACCCCCAGTTGCTTGATTATGCATTAAAACATATGATGTAACAAATGAATTCCTGCTCTATAACTACTATTAAATAAGCTACTGTGACTAAAGGTCTCTCCATTGACTTTTATGATATATAACCATACAACAAATGTTGTATGATTTATTTATGACAAGATTAATCAGCACAAAGGAATGTAGACCTGACATTGTTAAGGGAAGACTTTCACAAAAAATTATTCAGACTCTGAGAAAAAAATTAAAAATAACACAACCCTGATTTTAGAACAGGGCAGAGAGAATTCTGATGAAAAGAGTTTGTTATTCTACTCATAAATTAATAATAATAATAATAATAGTAGTAGTAGTAAAGTTGGAAGGGACCTTGGAGGTTATCTAGTCCAACCCCCTGCTCAGGCAGGAAACCCTACACCATTTCAGACAAATGGCTGTCCAGTCTCTTCTTAAAAACTTCCAGTGTTGGAGCATTTACTGCTTCTGGAGGCAGGCTGTTCCACTGATTAATTGTTCTCACTGTCAGGAGTTTCTCCATAGTTCTAGGTTGCTTCTCTCCTTCATTAGTTTCCACCCATTGCTTCTTGTCCTGCCTTCAGGTGCTTTGGAAAATAGTGAATAATAATGAAGACTATTCCTGGACTTTCCTGCTGTGCTTGTTTCTTGACCTTTGCCTATTTTTTTTTGGGGGGGGGGGTAACAATTGGCCAGCAGAAGAAACATTTCTAATGAATGATCCTCTTGAACTTCAAAATCACCTATAGACTTCCAAATGGGCTCTCACAAACTGCTCAATCTGTTTGTGTGTTTTTGTTCTGGAAGAAAGGAATTTCAGGAGACGGGGAAGAGCTAAGTCTTAATACGAAAGTATGAAGCCACTTCATGGTTACGAATGTCTTTAAATACAAAATATAGATTTAAAAAGTCCTAACAACTAATACAATGCAGGAAACATATTGCTGTAGATATCATTACTTGCTGCAACCGTATTCTATCAACACCGAGATACAAGTAACTTTTAGAAACAAAACCGTTTTAGCGCTGTAGGGACAGAATTATAATACAAAACTGTTTAGTGTTCCATATGAAATGTATGGTTAAAAGTAGAACTAATGCTACTGAAGATAAGATTTGCTTAAGGGAGATGAAAAAAACTATTAAAATAGGCATTAAAAAACAGAAAAAAATTGTAGAGACAATACTGTATACTCAGAAACAGTCACATTACAAAGTAAGACATGGGACACAATAAAAGTCAAAAATACCAGGCCCAGATGAAACATCCATAAACTCTTTAACAGAACAAGAGGGAGTTAAAGTGTTAGCAGCTCTTTGTCAACAATTACAAGTGTTGCATGATCTAGAAATGTAACATGATTCATAGAGAGAACAAGAGAATTTAAAATATGTTTGCTTTAATTATCCAGCATAACCTTTTTAAAAATTATGTAAAATAGTATGTATATTAACTCTGAAGGCATGCCAGTACACATGATTATTCTTTTGAGTAACCTTTATCATAAACAACAAACTACTTTAAGAAATTAAGTCTGGAAAAACAAAGTGGTTCAAAATATGGAAGGCAATGAGACCGGAATGAATATGATTCCCATCCTGTATTTACCTCTGATTTACTCTAATAATTTAGACTCTTTTAATTCATATTTACATAGTTCAAAAATAAACATGTTTCTGACAATAGATACCAAATAGTTAAAGCTATGATTTGCCACTAATAATGAGAAAATAGTTCGAAAAATAGGCATTGAAAATGACCAAGACATAGAAGGGAAATGTTTTGAATTATAGATATAGACATAGCTTACTAAAAATACCATGGGCTGCAAGAACCACCAATAAGTTCTGGAAAAATAATAGGCAAGGATTAGCAAGCAGAAACTAACATACTTTGTAAATATGATGCAAATGAATGATGGAATGTCAGGTAAGGGACATAGCAAGGAAGGTAACAGAAACAGTGAATAGATGGCATCAAAAAACCATCCAGTTCTGTGGAGAAAGGTTTTTCCATGGACCAGAGAGTGCATGGTTTTGTGTGCTGCCTGAATCCCATGGATAAGGCTTTGCTTGTTTGTGTGGACATGCTGCGGCCCAGTACCGGTCCATGGACCGGGGATTGGGGACTCCTGGTTTATATCAGTTGATAGCCAGCCAGAATCATTTAGATGAGATGGGTAGCCAAACAAATTAAATTAATAATCACGAATGAAGGCAAATATACATGTCCTAGAATAATGTTTGCGGGATCCAAGCTAGATTGGTCAGTGGGACCAACTCAGATTGGATCCTGAATTTGATGATGATGATGATGATGATTCTTGTGGATTATTACAAGTGACAAGATCTTTCACAATGCAGTTGTAGAAAAATGTTGCTAAAAGTAACATTTGTGCTATCTTTTGCTTTCTCACAGAAATCTTCAGAAATAATACACTATCCCATGATGCATTTTGATTAAAATATAACAATATTTTTTCCCAACCTGTGTTCACTATATACCCTAAGAATAATTAAGAATTATTGAGAAATTTTATGGTTATGCTACATTAATTTTAAATTCTTACCTTCTATAGTTCCATCTATTGTTGCCATTTTGTGTTTCATTTCTTTGTGCACTTCACGGTGGATATTATCCCGTTGCTGCTTGGCTTGTTGCATAGTATGGCTCTTCCAAAGCTTCCGCAGCATCTCAGTATCTGTCTCAGAATCTTGAGTTGGTAGTTTCACAGTTTCCTCTTCATTTGTGGCCTCTTTTTGGGAATCAGTTTTTTCAGAATCCAAATGCTGCTCATTCTCTGGTATGTTTCCTTCTATAGGTTCCTGACATGTTTCAATATTCTGAACTCCTTTTATTGCTTTGTCCGCTGCTTTAGAGTCCACAGCTTCATTAACAGAAGCACTGTCATTATTCAAAGGCTGTTCTCCACTGGAGTTTACATCCCCAATATTAGCAGAGTCTGAAATATCCTTTATATATTCTCCAACAGCGTGGTTTACTGTTTGGACCGATTCAGATGAAGCTCCAGAAGATTTGTCTTGTCGAAGATCATCAAGAAGCTCTTCCCGTATAGGAGACAGTTCTGACTCAGTGAAAACATCTTCTGAGAGAGATTCTTCTGTGCTCCTTGGAGCAGTACTGGCACTATCATTTCCTGTATCTCGCATTCTTAATTCCATTTCATCAGTATTACTTCTGGTAATTTTCTTGAAGTGGCAGAGATCTTTTACAGATAACTGACCTACATCACTAAAAAGTAAAGAAGACCTCTGTGTTATAACCTGAGAAAACAAAATGCACATAACTTTTTTTAAAAACTGGGATCACTTTAATAGAACCGGTTTGATAACTATTCATAAAGCAGTTATTCAACGTTATCTCTATAGAGAACAGCTCCCCACCTCCTACCTCATTAGCAGAGGACAAGATTTATTTATTGCAAAAGTGTCTATAATAATCAATCTTAGAAGCCTGAGTGGTGTACAATAATATAAAGAGATATCTCAGTTGTGTTTAATGAACACTTAAAAACATGTGTACAAATAAACAGGATGGCACTTAACATAGCTAGATACCAAAAGCCTATTTAAAAAAGGATAGTTTTTAAAATATTGAATGTTAGAAAAGAGAGAGCCAGAAACATGTCTATGGGCACTGTATTCCATAATGTGTGGGGTACAAGGGAGAAAGCTTAATTTCTAACCCACTTGTAACTCAGGAAGGGATTCTGTATAGAATAGTCTTATATTCAAACATAAGTAACTCATTGAGCTACCTTATGAGGGACAGAATTCTTCATTCTTGTTGCAGTACCTATAGGTAATTTAACTTCTGCAGGTTGTGTGAAAAAAAAAAAAACAATTTTCCAATTTTTATTTTTGTATTTACAGCCTTTAAAGAAATCCTTATTTGGGGCAATTCCACGGAGAAGAATTTCCATGGAGAATTTCATGCTAATCAGTAAAGCAAAGTTCTATCTATATCATTGATAATAATTGTGTCACAAATTCAAAACAACCAATATTTTATTAAAAGTGATTTATAAAGCTGGTCACAAATCCTTGTTGCATATTAATGCAACAAAAAGTCTGGCTTTCAAAAACGGACCCAAATATATCTGTCTCTTACTATTATTACTCCGTATCACAATTTCATTAATCGTAAGTTATTTCTGCAACATCGTTAATGGAAAAATGTTGTTAAATTACAAAATGTGATAGATATTATTTATTAAATTTAAAGGCTGTCCAAGATTAGAACAACTCTGGTGACTTACATTTTAAAAAGAGTAGAAAATAAAAAAGGGAAAACATCATATACATTTGGACAGACTACACTACTAGTTGTACCATCAAAATACGATCAAAGAGAGATCTAGGACACAGTCACATTTTATGTATCTACAGAAGTTATTTATGACACATATTTATAAACTGCCCAACTTCATAATAGAATATAAATATATAAAATAAATCATTCAACAAAAGGTCTAGCATGGAACTCTATAACCTTATTAGCTTTACTTACCTGATTAGACTCAACTAATTTTCAAAGACAAGATGAACCTTTTATTGTTACTGGTTTTGTATGCACAATGACCCTATCACAACCAGTGTCAAGTGTACCGTTATCCATTGTAAGTCTCCAAATGCAAAGCATGCACAAACATCACAGGAAGCCTCTTCGTCACCTCTAAGTGAAAAACTACATGGTTGGGCAGAATGCATTTCTTCAGCCCAATGATAATGACAAAATTACAGTCCTTAATGACAGGACTATAATACACTGGCCAGTCACAGCGGTCTTTGACTGACAAGTGATATAAAATACATTTTCCATACTATACAGTGCAGGGAGTGAGTGAGTGAGTGAGTGAATGAATAAATGAATGTTTTATTTGGCCAAATTATATTAGATAGACAAGGAATTCATCTCCGGTGCAGAAGCTCTCAGTGTATATGCAAAGCAACAGAAAAACCATCATCATTATAATAATAATACCAACGGGGGGGACGGGACTAAAGAAGATAACAAGATAATAAGAAGGACAAGGATAGTGGCTGTTCAAAGTTACAAGGGCACTGAAAAAGTTAGTTATGACCACTGCAGCATCCCCATGGTCATGTGATTAAAATTTATCCGCTTGGCTATTGACTCATATTTAGGGCATCAATGATGAAGACAAATTCACTTAATAACCAAGTTACTAATTTAACATCTCCAGCAATTCACTTAAAAACTAGCATGAGAGGTTGTAAAATGGTCAAAACTCACTTAACAACTGCCTCACTTAGCAACATTAATTTTGGGCTTAATTGTGGTTGTAAGTCAAGGACTACCTGTAGTTATTATGCATCAGTGACTCAATATGATGATAGGGAAAAAAAATTTAAGTGACTGAAATACTTTTACAGAACACAATACAGCCAATTACCACACTAAACATTTAAACTTACCCAGGAAATCTTCTTTGTCACTAAACCTATTTCCCAAATTTAAAATTATTTTAAAACCAGATCTAAGAATTACAATATCAATAATAAAAGCATGAAATCTTAGGATCAAATGAGGTATAAGAAATAAAAAGGAAATTGCAGAAGTATCAGCAAACAAAATCTCTTTAGCTGACCTACTGGACGGAAAATCCAAATAAACAAATAACTTTATGATAACTAAGTCATATTATCACATATGATACTAAAATATTAAATGTTAAAATGCCTACAGGATGGGTAGCCCAAGAACTTTTAAGTACGAAGTTGAAATAAATTAATCTTAAATATTGTTCAGGAAACAAAATTCAACCCCAAGTTTATCAAAGAAAGCCAGTTAAAAAGAATGCAATTAAAATTAAGATTTTTTCTCCAAAGGAGGATCTAAGTGAAAGATATCTAAAAATCCAAGTAGCATATAAAATATCTTCCTGCCCTTAGAGCTCACAGCAAGCAAAAACGAAATAAGGGAACAAGATAATAAGAATGGTCAGAATATCAATATTTACGCTCCTGTATTATTAACAAGCCTAGCTTTCTATGAAATACCAACAAATCAAACAAATATAACAGTATAATTGTAGATTATACTGTTATTATGGTAGATAACATAAGAATCTGGTAACATGTCAAATCAGAAAACATGTCTAAAGTAGCTTTCTAAAAGCTATAAAATAATAAAATAATCATTTAGATTCAATGACTAGTAATCCCCTTATAAATATTGGTTTTTAATGCTTCTGGGTAGAAAGCAAAACTGTGCTAACTTTAAAAGCTATGGTGTAGCTCTCAAAAATTTAGTGATTCCAAACCTCTTTGTTCCCAAAGTCCATAAAAGCAGTAGGGTGGAGAGTTTTTTGTCTCAGAAAAACAACATAGGGTGATTTGATGATTACTGTAACTAATTTCTTTCATTTGACTTCCACACAGAGAGATAGGAATGTGTACACATACATACACTAATCTATCTTACATGGGTAATGAATCCTGCATTTTGCCATCTGCATCTTTATACATAGCAGCTGACATCACTTCTTCCATTGGACACATGATGCCATACTCTTCACAGCCATTCTGTTGAACCAATGGATCCGTTTTATATGGATCAAACATTATATTGTTTGGTGTTACTAGGAGCACACCGGTGACAGTTCCCTAAGATAAAGAGAAAAGCAATCAAATTTCTTGCTAAAATAAACCAAATCTTTTCAAATTATATTTAGAAGTGACCTAATCACTTAATTAGTTAATGAATTTTGAGTACTTCTGTTAAAGTTTAACAAATACATTCAGCTTTCTTATAAACCACTGAAAAATTGTAAATTCCTGGAAAATATAGTATTTAAGGAAAAACAATTTTGTCTAGTTAATTTTATACCAATATATAGAAGTTATTGCAATGAAAAAAGGAAGTTTTAGCCATAATAAAAAATATATTGTAAGATGGTACTGTAAGATAATTTTGTATTTACTTTAAATGAATAATCTCTTTAATGAATCTTAGCATCAACTTAACATTTCAGCAGTTTCCATATAATATAAAATATATTTTTTTAAAAAAACAGTAATTTTCTAATATACATCATGCAACAAATGGTATCAAGTTACATATGAAATTGTGGTTAATTTTACTGAAAACTTTATCATTATATAAACAACTATTTTTTCAAGATTCTGTCCCTATAAAGGAAAGATTGCTTGCATTTGAAAGGGTTATATAGCTCTGAAGAAGCAGAAGGATATGTTATATATACTGTTTGATATATATACTATGTATATGGCAGTAAAGGTAGATTTAACAAATAATACATAATATAAATTGGGAAAAAATCTCTCTCTCTCTCTCTCTCTCTCTCTCTCTCTCTCTCTCTCTCTCTCTCACACACACACACACACACACACACACACACACACACTCATACACATTAACTAATTAGACTGAAGCCTATGTAACAACCCAGAAAGAAAGAAATATTTCTTGCAAGCTAAGTACATGAGTATATAATGAGATTAAGAATCAAGTAAAAAAATAAATCAAACCAATTCCCATTTGAAGTATACAAAAGCTTTTGCTTGTAAGATCAATTTGGTTTTTCTCCTTTAGGCTTGCAGATATGCAAAAGTATTTATTTTAGACAGTTATGTTTTTAGACAGTTATGTTAAAACTCTTTTGACTTTTATTCAATTCACCATAGAAAATGTCAGAGGAAGGAAAAAGAGTACAAAGGCAGGATATGGACTGAGTTATATCTAGAACAGATTGGACAATTGATATATGCTTTTACTTTTTGCTTTTACTATCATGAGGAAAATCTAGAGAGAAAAATATTTTGCATGTTGCTGAGTCCTTAGGTCAAAGGAAGGAAAGGACGAAAGAGGAGGAAGCAAAAGTTGATATAGGCAAGATGAAATAAGAAAACTAGAGAGGGAAGGAAAAACCCAGGCATTTCAGCCACTTAATCATTCCTCTTTTAAGCAGCAGCAGCAGCTTTTCATGTTGGTAAAAAAAAAATATTCTCAAGAATAGCAGCATTTTCACTACCTAGTTTCTATCATGTTTCTTTTCTTTATTGCCTTTCCTTGCTGGAAGGAGGAAAATGAATGTGAATGTAATTTTGAGCAGTTCTCCGCAAGAGTTTTTCGTATGTGATCAGAAAGTTTGAATGAATGCAGATGGAAAATTAATTAATTAACTGGGGTATCTTTTTAAGAGGCAGTTAAGAGTTTATTCAATACTTTTTTTTTCTTATCCTAACAATGCCCCTGCTCCATTTTTTTGAGGGGAATGTGATTTCTGCAAGTTACACACACAGAGGACACAATAAAACATATGCACACATTTCCTAAGGAAGACATTAGATTCTTCTGGAATTGCTAATAATAAATTGACAAGGAGGGAAAGCTAAACACTATAAGGACTTCCTGTCTAGTGGAATTTTTGTTTTGTGTTTTGTGTTCCTTTTGGGGAGATCATCTTAAATTCAGAGAATATCATCTTCTCCAATAAACACGGTAATTTTAAATGGAAAAATGGGCAGTATCTATTAAATTTCATTGCCTGAAGTGAATTAATGTTTCTATATTATAACTGGCTAAGAATTATCTAACATTTGTAAGATAGCACAAGTATATCCTTTCCTATTGTCTGAGAACAGAAAAGATAGTCTAAATATTAAGATTTTTGAAGCATATATCAAGAATCATTTAAAAATATGCTATTTATAAAATGATGACAGAACTCTATGGTTCATATAATCAATAACAATCTATGTGTATCTTCTGTTGCATCTTTCAACTTAGCTGCTGTTTTTTTCATTAGATATTGCCATCATTACTGTGACAAAGTGGATGAATGTGGCATGGTTACGTATAGCTTTGATAAACTTGTACGGTTAACTTCTGTTTTAGCTAATATAAAATAATTACCAAAATTCTTCTATCCCAATAAAAGGAAAATTCTCAATTAATTTAGGCCACACATTATTTTATGTAAGAAACATATCATTCTTACCTTATTACTAGTAATGTATTTACAATTGATCTTGAGAAATTTTTCTGTGAAAGCTTCCTCTTCTTCTGATGTGGATGATACAACTCTTGTAGACCGAACACATGGATATGCTGGTATGGATGTTGTTTCTTTCTTTTGTGTCCCATCTGAATCCTACAGAAACAAAAACCTCAGTGATGGAACCAAAAATTGGATGTGTTTTACAAATGTAGGTTTATCCTTGCCAAACCTATGTACTATAACAGAGAAGTTCAAAAGTAAGTAAATGATAAAAATGAGTCATGTAAAACAACTATAACCGTATGTGATAGAAATGAATTCTAGAGACAATATTAAATCACAAGTTGGTATATGAAAGATCACAACTTAATGCACAAAGCAATATAAAAAATGCATTATAATTTTATTTAATATTTAAGACATCAACAGTTTAAGGCAGGGGTGTCAAACTCAATTTCACTGAGGGTCGCATCAGCATTGCGGTTCCCCTGGAGGGGCCGGCTGGGTGTGGCCAAAGTGGGTGCAGCCTACTGGGTGGGTGTGGATGGAGTGGGTATGGCCTACTGGGTGGGTGTGGCCAGTTCTACATCATTCACGTCAAGGGTGCCTATGGGGGCCTGGGCAGGAGTGGGACAGATCTGAGGGTCTCTGGAAGAAGGGGGTGGAACCAGGGCAAGTGCCAAGGCATGGTCCACTGGAGCAAGTGCCAAGATGGCCACCACAAAATTGTACATTGGCTCCAGCTGGCCTGGGCCAGGGCCAAGGCAGCAAGGGCCTTTCCCTCACTGTTTCCAGGATGGCTTCGCGGGCCACATGAAACCACTTCGCGGGCCGCATCCGGCCCCCAGGCTTGTGTTTGACATGTCTGATTTAAGGTATCAACGCAGCTAACATCAACATCCACATCAACCCTTTCAAACTATTTGATAACTGAAATAGATTTTTATATCAATATGCCTCAGCTCTGATCAGACCAATGAGGCCTGCATACTACAATTTGGCTACTCTTCAGGAATGCACCCTTGGGGAAAAAATATTCCAGATGTGTGTGGGGGCGCACACACACACACACACACTTACAGCTGTCTTCTCAGCCTCAGCTTCTGAAGAGGTAGGTGATAAAGGACTTTCAGGACTAAGTGAAGGAGAACTCTCCACACTGGAAAGGTACTCTGGATCAGGAACATATAAAACCTATAAAAACACATTTTGATTAAGTGATTTAACAGATTTAGATTTTAATTTAAAGAGTAAAACATTATTTGCACAAGGCTCAAAAAGAAGTGTCTGCAAAAATGTCTTACAGAAAATTGCAAACTTTTTAATATTGTGATTTGGTTTTGCATAAATCAGTCAGCACTTAGAAAAGGTACAGAAATTATTATACATTATCTGATATTAAATGAAATGCCTTGTGGATAATACATGTTTACTCGGTTTATCTTCAATTAGCATTTTAGAGTTTGTTTAGGATTTCATATCCACATTTATATGTGATATGAATTTCATTCGTGTTATGTTTACTGCAACAAAGACTTTATTTACCTTTTACAGGATTTTTATAGAAATATTTTTTCTAATAAACTTTGAAAAATGTTAAAGTTAAATATATGCCCTTATTTTTGAATTGAAGAAATGTTCTGTTACTTAGGGTAACCTGCTAGAACCATGATTTTCTGTTTAAACTTTCAAAATGGAACTGGAGTTGCAGCTTTAAACCAGACCTACTCTGCCATATTCTGTACCCAAACCAATTTTAAGGTTTGATGACAATTTATTCATGTCAAGGGTTCCACTGTATTATTCCCCAATATTTTACAATTCTCTTCCATGTCACAAGATTAATTAGCTAGTTTTAACCATTCAGTCATATCCAATCCTTGGAGACCTTATAGGCAAATGCTTTCCAAGTTATCCCAACGAGCACAGCTTCTTTCAGTTGTTGGATATTGATCTTTGTATCAGTTTTGATGGTATCAAGCCAGCGAGGTCTTTGTTTGCCCCTTCTTCTTGATCCACTAATGTTATAATGTTAGTCCTCATCAAAGGAAGGATATATATTGAACATATAATGTTCAATAAACCATTAATTACTCTTCACCTATTTTTACTGTACCTATCTTATGTAATAGACAATACCTGTCCAGGAACAACTGCTCTGGAAAACAGCTTGTTTAACTGCACCAATTCATTAGGAGTAGTATCAAACTTCAAGGCCACAGTATTCAAAGAATCTCTTGATTCCACCTGTTTAGAGAACATAAATGCAATTAAGTGATACGTGATCAAGTCTTCCTTACTTTCTTGAAAGTCTAGCATATTACTATATTGTGTATTTTTAAAAGAAAATAGCAGCCAATAAAAATGTACAGGCCTACATCTTATTAGTAGATTGAAATAGAGAAAAACAATAATTCAGTTGCTCTGAATAATCTGGATTGAATAAATTCCAAAGATAAAAAGACCAACTAACCAAATATTTGAGATGCCTACAATTTGATTTCCAACAATTTAAAAGTGTTTGACTTACTTAAGAATCAATTCTAATAGAATGTTTTAAAAAATAAGACTAAAAATTAATCAGCAGCATGCAGCTATCTCAAATCATGGCAAATTTTATTTTCTTAACTGCTGCACTGGGAATGAAAAGCTGATGTTTCCGATTTGACATACAAATTATTACCACAAAATGGAGATTACCTGGTTTTCCAAAGAAAGAAAGAAGCAGGGAGTAGGACAAAACAATAATCATTATAAAATGAGACTAATTTAAATTAAAATAAAACTTTACCCTCAAACAGCAACACCAGTTCATTAAAACAGAATTTAATTAATGAATAATTGATCTGGTGACTCCATGTCCCAAACTCTAAAAATTATTTCTGATTTATTTCCAATAAAAAAATTAACTAATATATTATTTTTAATGTGCATCAAAGATTTTTAATTGGATTCAGCATACACTAAGGAAAAACTGAAAGACAACAACTACCTGCCAAATAGATATCAAAACTTTTGAAGCATTTGTTGCTGGTTCATTGGGACTCTAACATTTTGCTTATTTTAAGCCCCAATCAAGCCAGTCTTTTAAAAATGAATTATGTGAACATTGGCCAACATGGTGCTTCCTGAAAACAGACATCAATCTGAAACAACGGAAATTATTGTTTCAGTTACAACCCCTGAGAAATTTTGGTCAGTTCGCAAAGCATGACAGAATTCATTCAGAAAAACAACAAAAGAACATAACTCACCTGAGAGAAATGACAAAATATAAAATATAACAAATATCAAATGAAAGTCTGTAAACTACATCTAATAGAAAGTAACTGTGGTTTACAAATTTTAGATTTTGGTTGCCTAAGAGGTCAAAGCATTTTACATCCATGTATTTTTTTAAAAAAAGTATCGTGCTTATAACATACAACTTCTTTAATTAAAAATAAGCAGCAAAACTGACTTAATATTACTGTCCAAGAGTGTACTCATCGTAACCAGAGGGAATTTAAAGTCTTTAATTATTACTAACATATATTTTTCCTATCAATATCATTAAAGCACTGATATTATCTGAATGAAAACTTTTACTTTGGAATAACTGTAGTCTATATTTTTGTATTTTAAAATGAATATTTTAAGCTAATAAGGGGCCAGTTGGTGTTTTTTAAAATAGCTATCTTTCATAAACCTTCTGTAAACCACATTTACAGAATACTGCAGGGTATGTAATGATTTTAAAATAATTAGAGCACCCTAAATGCCAAATAAATAATTGATACAGATTTATCAGGCTGAAAAATAATATTCCTACATGATAGGAAATATATTGCTAACATGTATATCATCATCCAAAAATAGTCATCTTTCTGTCTGTCTCTAAAATTATTCTCCCACTTCCCTAAAGTAAGCCTAGTTTAAATAAAGGCTATCCTTATTTTACGGGTTTCATGCAAAGTATCTGCCAGAGTTTTATCCCTTTACCCAAAGGGATCAAAAATAATGGATACAGACATGGTTTTTTTGTACTTTCCAGCAAACTAATTGCTAGCTTTCAACTCTTTTCTAAACTGATACCCTAGTTATTGAAACAGGAAACAGTAAATAGACTGTCCTCGTTAAACACATATTTGTTCAGAGACTGTTCTAAGTTACAGTGGCACTGAATGAAAACCAGCCCTCAAAGTTCTGTCTGTTGCAATGTCCTGCAATCACATGAACAGAATTTCGGCCCATCTGAACCCACTGGCATTTATGACTGCCTTTTTGCTGACTACCTAACCATTGTCTCCTGTGCCTCCATTACCTGATCTGTCCCACTCCACCCCCAACCATAATGAATGCCACTACTGTAGTGGGCAGGGCCTTCTTTCACACCGCCTTTTTTCAGGCAAGTGCATCCGGATCATCTATCCTCCCCTATCCAGGGCTTTCATGCTATGCCCAGGGCCTTCTTTTGTGAAAAAAGCCCAGTGTGAGAAACTGTCCTGACTGTTTCCATGTGAAAGAAGGACTTTTCTAGCCAGATCATTTTGTTGCATCTGGGGATGGCACGAATGGAAAGCCTAGAAAGCCCCAGCAGCACTGGCATGGGAGAAGGGCCCCGCTGGTACAGTAGTGACATCTGTGCAACAGGGACACCAGTGGCAGGCAGGAACGGGCCAGGAGCAGTGGATAGATGTGCAGTCAAAACAGCAGACATAGGAGGTACCTTAGGCTACTCAGATACAATCTTTTCCATCAAACATAGTGTATTGCTAGACCAACTGTATGGTTGAAGATGCAGAAAAATGGTAGTTCACCTCCTAAAATTAGGATTGTTTCCAAGAAGTGAACCTATGAAATTATTCTGGACCTCATGGAGGCCGTGCCATTGTATTCTGCAGAATTCCAATATCCTCCAGATATCTTGTCCTTTACCTCTATCAGCTTGAATATAATGTATAGGAATATGAGAACAATATAACTTGTGAAAGGGCAACAGAATGCCTATTCACAATATACTTGACACCATTGGCAAAGATCATCGGGATGGTACCCAGCTCTATTAATCCTGCTCATTTGTACCAAGTAAGGTACAAATCTGTATCTAAACTTAATTTTGAGTAGAAAAATAAAACAAATTTAAAGTTTAAACTGAACTTGAGCAAAATTGAGGCTTAATATGTAGATGGTCCTGGCTGTAGAAATTAATGTAACAGCTTGCTTCAAATAGAATTATATACCCATAAAGGGACATTATTTAAATCTCCTGCAAAATGAATTATAGACCATTTTGCATATATACACCCTGAAAACAGCAATATTGGTACAAGGATAAAATAAAAATAAAAAAGAATAGACTAAAATTCTGATTATCGTTCAAATTTCTAAGTACCAGAATATTGATATGTCTTTTATAAACAATTATAATTGCAATTAGCAATCATTTAAAGCAGTTCATCAAGTTAATCACAATGGTTATCACAGGAAATATATTTCAATTTTTAGAGTGAACAAGGCACAATTTTTCAGGATTAGAGGGGTACATTATTATGACAGTGTGTCCATCTACAGCATTTTTTCTAAAAAGTTGTTTCCTCTTTTCTAGTATTTTCAAATAATTTTTTCCAATGGAAAATATTGTATATAATTTAATAGAAAAGTAAGATTTCCAAGTATTGCATTTATGTATCAGGGAGATTTCTAAGCAGTTAATCTTATATGCTAACAGGCTTTTTCATGAAAAGAAATAAATACATGGAAGAAATCTTTACATATTTTTATATTTCCAAATTTATGTTAATGATTTGAGAATTATTGGGAATTGAGAATAAAATAAAATAAAATAAAAACCCAAACAAATTAGGTCAGGGCTTTTCAACCGGTGGTGCGCATACCACTTGTGGTACATTAATGAGTGTCAGGTGGTACACAGCCCTGCTTAGCCAAGTGTAGTGGGGGAGGGAAAGACCCAGCACAGGCAAGGACTTACAGTGAGAGAGTCCTCTGGAGCTGTAAAGTCCCCAGGCTCACTTCTGGCTCACCCTCCCCCATGAGAAAGCAGGAGAGAGTGCCGAGACAGGAGAGCCTATAAAAGGAGGCAGTTTGGGCAGGAGAGGGAGAGAGAGAAAAAGCAGCAGCCTTGGGAAGAGGCAGAGTCAGCTGCACCAGAGGGGGAAGATCAAGCAGGCTGGCCGTGAGCTGTTCTACAACTGCTATGGCAGCCACCTGTGCTGGCAGCAGCAAACAGGCAAGAAATGCAGCAGGGGAGGGGTCACCCTCCAAGAGGAATGAAAAAAGGCAGCAATGGCTGGAGGTGAGGCATGGAGGAGGGAAGGAGATGGAGAGTAGAACAATTTTCCTGTGCTTTTGTGACTTTGAAGTTCTGGGATTTGTGCAATGAGGGCTTTGTTTTCTTAAGGAGTGTTTGGCAATTTCTATTTGGCTGATGGCTGATGTCTCGTGTTAGCTTCTATTGCTCCGCTGTTGTTAGCTGTAAGTTTTGTTGCAAGGGATTTTGAAGTATTTTTCTCCTGAATGGATTTTGCCTGTAGCATTCCTTTACTTATGAATGGAGCCATTTGGGGAGGTTGCCTTAGCCGGCAGCCAGTACTTACATTTTTTTTTCTTCCTTAAGTGCCAGCTGCGCTCCTTACTTTCCTTTCTAGCCAGTAGCTAATTCTTAAAGGGGAATGTGCCTTTTTAAACTAGTTCACTCAGCAGCTTGTCTTTTCTGTCTCTGGAGGCCTTTCCTTGTTTGATCAATATATGGAAGAGGGAAAATATGGGGGGGGGTTCAAATTCTTCCTTCAGAAGGAGATGGGAATGAGAAAAGGGGAGGCAGGGAAGGGAGGGAAGAAAGGAAGTCCCGCCTTAGCACTTGGTCACCAGCAGCTCTGCCATTGACTTTGCTTGTCAAAAGGTTGCAGAAGGGGATCACATGACCCTGGAACACAGTGACCATTATAAATATGAATCAGTTGCCAAGCATCCAAATATAAATCACATGACCCTGGGCATGCTGCAATGGTCATAAGTGTGAAAAATGGTCATAAGTCATTTCAGTGCAATTGCAACTTTGAACAGGGTGGGTTTTTTTTTTTGACATCAAGTTTTTGACATCTTGCTAGGTGGTACTCAAATATTGCCATATCCTAAAAGTGGTACAATCGGTAAAAAGGTTGAAAAGCCCTGAATTAGGTTACACATGTGTAACAAACAATAAGCAAATTGAAGTACTAATACACTATGTAATAATGACAAGTTATTAGTTATTTTGAGATACAAATAGAAAAACTAAATTAAATATTTCCAGTCTCTTTAATACCCTGATACAAGCACTTTAAGGCTAAGGAAGCTGGCAGTAGTAACATAATTTTCAATTGTTTGCACAAGTTATTAGAGACCATTTTGTAGTATGCAGTCTGAAAACTGTAAATTTTCTTACAGTTGGTGCAATGGTGCAAATTAAATATTTAATATTTGTATCAACTGAACATTTCCAAAGTCACTGAAAGAATTTTGATTAATGGAAAGTGTGGCTATATTTTTCCTCTACTGTAATAAATTAAAATCTGAGTGTATAACAACTTCATGAACAAGCTTATTATCCGATTATAACTTTACTAATACACATATTATATAGACTTACACAGTAAAATTGACACAAAAGTTCTGCTTGTATTTTTAATACAAGTCATTCAAAGCAATTTTGTTAGAACGTGATAGCTGATACCCACTCTGTATCAGATTGTTTATACAAGTAATTCATTTAAAGTGAAGGAACCAATTCACTTCCTAATTACATTTTATGGTTATATACTCATTAGTATCTCTGAAATTCAGCAATGAAAAGAAAAAGAGCAATATAACTTTAGTGTAAGACAGTTCTGTTTAAACTGTCACAAAACTACTCACAGTACATACATAGAAATAGAACTCTAATAGCCAGCTTTTTATTGCTTCATTTCTACTTAAAAATGAACTCAACTAATTTATAGTGGCACAATTTGAAAATTATGTATCTAGAAACCATAAATATATTAGTATTATATAATAAAGTATTATAATAAAATATTTCCTCATTCAGACTTCTGTTTCCCTTAGTAACCAGAAATTTAAAAGACTGACTATATTTCTGCTTTAGGGTCATTTGAAGAACATACAGACTCGGCATTCAGCTATTGATGATTAAAAAAACAGAACTGGTTCCTGACGTACTAATAAGTCAATGAAACTTAAGAGAACAAAATAAGACAACAAAAATATTTGTGTACCACACTGGTAAAAATGAGACAAAATTATACCAATCTACATTCAGTGAATTATTAACAATATTAAAAGCATTAGATGCAATAAGGGATTTATTGATGTCTTCTAAAAGTACAATAAGGCATATATTTAAAACCAGTGACCTACTATTAGTATTTAACATCCACAGGAAGAGTGGAAAGTTTAACAGTATTGCACCATATCATGTTTGAAAAGATTCAGAATAGTACTTATCAATCCCATTAACACATTTTCAATGTATCTTGAAAATTATGTATCCGAGCAGCAACTTACGATATACTCTATAGTCCCTTTTGGCTTTTGAAAAGACATACGTCTCCCATCTTTCTTGTCTATAGTCTTCTTCTGGCCAGTATCTGAAAGAAATTGAGGCAAAGCATGCATTACATTCATCTTTCTCTCATCTCAGGATTGTCACACACTGCGGACTAAAGCATCACTCAAAGACATGTAATTCACCAGTTACATAGCTCTCAGCCAGTGAATCTATGCTCAGCCTAAGACAACTACCTATCATAACAGACTTCATTCCCCTAAATTTATTACACTTTAGTGTTTAGAAATGCCTTAGCTTTATCAATATCTGCAAGTCTTCCAAAGTATTATTAAATCACAAGAAACTAGATGAAAGGTATTTTCAATATAGGGCAAGGTTATAACAATTCTCTAACATATTTAATTAGATTTTCATTACATATAGCTTGCCTGTCATCTGCAGTAAATTAAAATCCGCTTCAGAGATTAGTCCTTAACTTTAGCTACAGTTTTTCAAACACAGCTATATAACACTTTAATGGCAAGTATGACCTTCTGTATACAACTTTGCTATTTTTATTTTTATTTTGGTTTTCTATTGTTTTCTTGTTGTTAAACATTTAAAAACATTTAAAAGTGGTAAATCACTCAGAGTTGCTAGGACTCATGCTCCATTCATTTGACTTGTGAACTCTGTTCAGAAATCCACACTTTCTCACTTATGCAAACTTTATCAAGTCTTAATTAAGTCCTAATTAAGTCCTTTTCTTCAACTTATAAGAAACTGAAACTCCTTAATAACTTCAAAAAGCCCAAAGGAGTTTTATAAATGGTGCACAAAGAGACTTAAAAGAGAAGGAGGGAAAAAGAATCTAACCCTTTTTTTAAATTTGTTCCTCATCTCGGAACATAATCAGTTTTAGATATAGAAAGGCCCATACTTCAAAATTGGAGTGGATGAGTTGGAGAAGAGATATAGTCTCTAAGATGTACAAAAATAAGAGAACTGAGATAGGTTGAGATAGTCCTTACTTTCTGCCCCAATCACAGATGTAAGTACATTAAATGCTTTGAAATGGGTTGCAGGCCAAGCCAAGGTTTAAAATGCTAATTCAGGAACACTGACCCAAGATTTCAGCTGCAGTTCTTATTCATTTCAAATTGCATTTTTATCATTAAAAAAAATATTAGACTTTACAAAGATAAAAGCTTAATTAAAAATAAGAAAAATATATAAAGGAATTGCAGACATACAAAATATCTCTTCTTTAATCTCTCTCTCTCTTTTTTACAATCCTGTAATCCCTTAATTCAGGATACAGTTAAGGCAACTGAATGGAGCTGAGCATTTACTGGCTGGATGGCCTTCCTGACACCTACATTGGTGTTCACAACAGAAATTTTTTCTTTGCTGCCTGACAAAGAAACATTTGCTGCTATTAGGATTGAACTTTCAACCTTCTGAGTGTGTGAGCATTTTCATGAGTAGGCCATCATGCCGCTCTTCTTCCCATGTACATGAACTCTGTAGATGCCTTAAGCTACATGAATAAATAAATGAATTTAACATATCCATTTGGTAAATCCAAGATAAGTAGACTTTCCAAGTTATTTTTCTGGTTTATTACTTGTATGTCCCCTTAAATTATTAAGACCTCATCTAATTTCATCTATAAATCCAATGTGATATCTTTTTACTTATCACTTTTATATTCTAGCATTTACATTTTCACATCTTCAACCATCTTCATCCATATCACTTTTATAATTTGGCATTTTTTAAAATCCAAATCTACAGTTTCAGTTTTATCCAATAAAATATGTTGTTCCTCTGTATCCTCTGTTATAGTATCAGACAATCATGAAAATAATTTGAGGATTTGTTCCCAAATATTTCCTATAGTTAATTTCAAACTATAAATATTCTGTTATAAAACTTTAAACATCCCACAAGAAATAGCCTTCAAATCTACCTAGTTCCTTAACTTTTCAAAAACAACATCCTAGTCCACCATTTGCTGTATTCCAGAAATTAATGTTGCTTTAAAAAAAAAAAAACCTGAAGCTTACATAAAATATCTTTCATTCAGAGAGAAGGAAATTCTTCCAGTGTAATAAACCTTGCAGCTTGGAAAGTTCTTAACATCAAGAACATCAATAACAAGCATTTTCCTAAAGTAGTTATAACAGGAAGTGGGTGACCCAGAGTTTTTTTTAAAGCTCTGAACTACGACTTAAGCAGGCTATTTTTCCCGACTCCTCAACTCTCAAACCCACTGGAGATTACTATTTTATGACCTCTTCACAGAGAGATTCTGTACAGAGCAATCTTGTGGGTGATCCTTGTCCTCTCCTTGATCTGGAGAGAACATATGAAAAGCCAATCATAGAGATACTATCCTAATATAAAAATTAAGAATTTGATTCAATACTATAAGGACATTTTATATTATGGAACTTTATTATCACTCACTTGGACTAACTTTTAACATACCTACTAACAACTTTGTTTAAAAATAAATAATTTCCCCTCAAAGCTACAATTAGAATTTTTATGAATACACTGCTTTGCACAAAGAAACAGACACCTGACATTATCTGTTCAGACACGGCTGTGGCTGCACAGAACGCTATGAGCAAACACAGAGCAGGCAATACATGGTCCATAAGGAAAAAACATGACTACAGCTACTTTAACTCAAAACAAAACCACAAAAGAGAAACTAAAGAAGTTCTGGATCCACACATTAGTGACTTCCTTGCTTCACTATCTCCTGTAGTTTTTTCAATTAAAATGTTCCTAAGCAAATAGCCTGTCCCAATTTATAACCAGGTCTAAGTTTAAAGTTCCTATTCACCCTTATAATGTGCATATTTACACAATTCTAAACTACAACCCACCAGTTACAAGCTACAGTTATTAGTTATTATGCTTCCTCTCTCATGGGACCAACCCTGTACAATAGTATTTCCTCAACGAACCTAAGGCTTCCACCCTGATATTTTGTAAAGCATTAAAAACTGGAATATTTGCTCAGACCTTTGGTCCGTTTGATAGTGTCCAGAATCAATTGGAATCAGTTTGTTTAAACCTATATACATAATAAATAAAACATAATGAATGCATTCACACATTAATGCAAAACAAACCAGATTACAGTATATGTTTAAACTGCTTGTTAACGTTTTGGTTATTTTTCTGGTGGTTTTGTTGCTTTGTTTTTAACTTTCTACACCTCAGAGCTACGCATATAAGACTATGTAAATTTATCAAATAAATAAATCATATTTTGAGCTGATGTAATGTATAAACTGTAGTAATAGGAACAAGGCTACTATGGCTTTGTTTAAATCAAACCATTTGTCTGAAATGGTATAGCGTTTCCTGCCTGAGCAGGGTGTTGGACCAGATGACCTCCAAGGTCCCTTCCAACTTTATTATTATTATTATTATTATTACTATTATTATTATTAACTACTAAGGTATGATATGTGAATGTAGATACTACTATTCAGTGGAATTTAAAAGAAAAGATAAAGACAGAAAGTATACAGCCTATACTGAGAATCTACCTCCTCTCCCAAGAGCAGTGTTGGTATTCATTTTCTCTGCTATACCAAAAAAAAAAGAACTGGAAAAAAAAACTACTAAAGTTTTCTTGCTGTTAATAGTCCAATAAGCTATTTTAAAGTGTGATTCTAGGACCCCAGGACCTTTTCAGGGTGCCTTAAAATCAAAATTATCTATCAGTCTACCTTGAAAACATAATACAATATTAAAATCTCACCAAATAATTGTGAGAAGCAGTAGGCCTGCAAATGTGTCAATTTTAATGTTTAATTTGGTAAATATTGATAAATACAGACCATGTAAACAAAAGGTCCTTAGGGCTTCTCCATAATTTTTAAAAAAAAGAGAAAAAAAAATTAAAGAAACACTGCAATTGGTTTCCCACTTAGCAAGAAAAAGCAAATGGATGTCAGCACCAATGGTGACCTTCCCCCCCCCCTTGGGCCTTCTTCGCATGCCTCCCATTCCTTACAGAAGGAAAATCTTGGCACGGCTGGGGAAGATGGGCCACAGAATAGCAGAAGAGGGGGGGAGGAGAGACATACAGAGCACAGGACATTGAAGAACTCCTTCCTTCTGAAAAAGGCCAAATGCAGCTCCAGAAAAGAAGTGGTTTTTTTTTTCTTTTAAGTTTGTCCCAAACTGAATATGCACTCGCGTCTCTCTCTGGAGTTCAACCCACCTCCTCATACTCCAGGTCCCTCTCGCATCCTTCCCGCTTATGGAAACACCTCAAAAAATCTCACACAAGCAAAGTCCAAACAAAATGTACCAAAGAGGCATTTTATCAAAACGCCTTGCCCTTTAAAAAGCCGCAGGGGAGGGGTAGGCCCAGAGTTTCAGCGCCTGCAACTCGCCTTCTCCAACCGAGTGCCCTCCAAAGCACAACTCTTGGGGCCGAGCATTATGGGAAGTGTAGTCCCACATGAAGGAGGGAGCGAGGGACGGACGAAAGGTTTTTCTCTCTCTCATTGACCAGCTACGAAGGAACCGGGGAAACCCCTCTCCTCCTCCTTGCCGAAAACCGCCGGCCCAGCTGGAGTCAATTATCTGCCAAGCGGGAGGCCTTACCGGGTGGCGAGGGTGCCCCGTCGTGCTGGGAATCCTGGAAGTGGACTTGGCGGAGGTTCCCCGCGCCGGGGACGGCGCCCCAGAGACGGTTGGCGGTGCCTCTCAGCAGGCGGCCACTCTTGCCCGTGAAGGTGGTGAGGTACTCCATGTGGGCCCGGACACCACGCTCCGGAGCCAGGACGCGGGACGAGTTCGGGGACCGGAGTGTCTACCGCGCTGCGAGGGCCGTGCGCGGACCCTCCTGGCGGACTAGAAGTCGAGCTCGAAGCGGAAAAGGAGAGCAGCGCCGCCGCGAAAAAAGTTAAGCAAAAGTTGAGGCTGACGCCGCCTCAGGTCTCCGGCTGCTCGGCTTACGGTGGGTGTGGCTGGAAGGAGGCGCTGCGAGGCCGCAGCCCGCCGCCCTCGAGTTTCTCAGCGAAGATCCCCGCAGGGCTGGACACGTGCGTGGATGAAGGCGAG